TTTACTTTTTCTGTCAAGAGTGCTTATGTCTGTCGATGCAGTCAATAAGAATTGTTTTGGCTACTGGTTATGCATTAGACTGTACTTCTATTCTAAAGTGGAATCACGTATAATCTTACGACGTGTACTATCATTCCCTGTCTCTGAAATATGGCAATCTCCTAAAAAGTTATCTACTTTTGTCAGTAGTAACATTTCTAGATCAGTGTTAAGTGGTACATTAAACTTTTTTTTCTAATATTCGTAGACAAATTCAAGTCCCATAAATTGCAACTAGTCTCATCATCGTTTTGTAAACATACAGAGCTAGATTTCTTTTAGATTTACCGCTTAAATGCGATGTTAAATATTTTGACATGTGCTGTTGTTGTTGCTAATCTGTAGGCAATAAAAGTTATTTATTCCCACAAAGAGTGATCCCGATAGGATGGTATTAACAGCAGCAACCTGGACAGTAACCACGGAACTTTTTGTCTATGTAATTATACAATTTTTCTTAGTCTATAATAAGATTAACAAACTTACTATAACATATTTATATAGAACGTTACTATATAAAACTATGAAACTCTTTGCAATTGTTGTTAGCAATAATGTTAGTATTAGTAACTCTAAGTATATTCTAATTAGGGTTAATAAAGCTATATCAGCAGTGTACTTAGTGTTAGTAGTTAATACTAATCATGTGAGATAAATATCTTATCTTTCGAGTAATATAATTTTTAATATAATTATTAAAACATGTTTTTAATATTAAAGGTATCTTTGAATTTATGAAAAATATTAATTATAAATAATCAGATAGTTTTTATTATCTTATTTAATTGCTAGTATAAACCTACACTTCAAATTACAATCTTTACTACTTATTGAAGAAACTGAATATATGCAATATATGAGAAGGGATTTTTTCCTATATTGAAATATTTAAATTTTCTAAGATTTATGATATCGAGTTAGTTGCGGAATATGTCAGATGTTCTGGTTTTTAATTACTCAAAATCTATCCACAAATATTTAAAAATTCGATTTATTTAATTAACACCACAGAACAACTTCATCAAAGAGCGGACGTGTTAAACAATTATTCAAAAATGTATCCAGTCTAAGCCTTGACTTTTATATGTGATTGATTAGGAAGTATTTTTAAAATACGAAAATAATATTTTTAAAATTTGTAACTAAAAATAAAATTATTTTTCTAAAAATAAATACAATAATTTTAATTTCCTGTTATACTTTTTATAAAGATTAATTAGTCGGACAAATTAAAGGTTAAAATATATAATTATTAAATGAATGATGAAAATTTGATACGAAAAGCTTATCAAAAAGCTTAAACTCAAATTTTATTATTAAAATAAATCAATAAATAAGTTCTCAGACTTATAACCCAAGTTAATTTATATTAATTAATAAACAATATAATTACACAGTATTTTAAAGAATTTTTTAATAATACAGACAAAACACATGAAGTAATTATATATTTTATTTATTGTGTTCTACGTCAATGGTAGAAACAATTAAAGTTATTTACTATGTTTTGTACATGTCAGTGAGATGGTTTAAAAGTTTAAGTCGAAAGAAACTGTAGCCATTACTCCCAGTCTTCTGAGTAATCTTGTAACAAAAAATTAAAATATGGGTAAACAATTTTAATTTTTTCAAATATATCAGAATATATTCCAGATGTTACAGAGTCTTTGCAAATCTTTGTTTAACAAAACCTCAATGATATGAGAGATTGTTATTATATATATATAGTATATCAGTCTAAAATAGAATATATAAAAAATTTCATTATCTTTAAAAATTATTCGACTATCTCTAAATACTGAGTAGGTTTACTGGCGTAAGCGGGATTTTAGAAATACAAAATAATAAATAATAAAATCTTTATACTATACTTAGTTTTGTTTAAAATATATGTCTACGTTAAATTGCTCTTGTGGTCTCAAGAGAAGAACAATGAACCTCTTCTGCACTAAATGCACCACTTGCTTGGTACAATAGTCTTTTTCTTTTTTGATATTAATTCAATATTAACGTGCACCGAAATATAGGTGCAATAGAATGGGTCCATCCAAAATAAACCCGTTGTTATAAAAATTTGAATATATTAAAACTTATCACTTATAGTTTATAGCTGAGGCACGATAAGTCCTATATAAATACCAATAAAGACCAGCCATCAACTATCAACGACGCCCAATTCAATACAAGCAGTAATTCTTTGTATCTTGTGGCTATACGAATATTTAATACCGTTTGAAAAACCCAAATCAATCCAAATCAGCCCCTACAATTCAAACCGAAACATAATTATATCGCATATGAAGTCTTTTCCAATCAGTTATCCACTATGGGAAAATTGAACATTAGTAGTGGCGCACAAATACAGTTCCATGACAATATACATATATATATAGTAGAGTTCCATCTAGTATTCACTATATTCTATAATACGATATTATATTTAGAACAATATCAATACTTCAACTTGCAGTTGACAATAGCATCAGCTAGCCTTAGACGAAATATAGATGTCTTTTGGGTCAGCGACAATTTTTAGACAGTCAATGGCCACTTTTGTGGTGACTTTTCTTACTGACCTGACCGTGCTGTTATTGTTTAAAATTAATAACGTAGTCAAATTTATAGACTTATCAGGCTTCACTTTTATGTAAATAGTTGGTTGAATACGGTGGCAGGTCAGTAGAGTCTCTCCGCTAAACACAATTAATACCAAGTTCCTCGCAGAAAATGAGTACCTAAATACCAGATCTAAAGACTAAATCGATTTCGTCGAATTCAGATAATTCAATACTCCTATAGCTCTTGCCAATGAACTGTTCGGCAAACTTTCAAAAAAGTACTTCCCGAAAAAACGTTTTCACCTGGTCACCAGAGCTGGGAATTTACAGTAAAAAAAACTTAATTGTTTATTTTTCGTGTAAACTTCTACTTCTAATGCAAAATCAAATATGTCAAGAAATGATAGAAAAAAAATGTTATATGAGTCTGGGCTTCATCACCTTCTCAACAGCATTAAAGCATAAGTAATCTTTCAATTCATAAAATCCAATAAACTGTGCGAAACTATTTTAAATAGTAATTGTAATTCTAAATTTTACTCTAGTGTGGCATAGGTCAATGAGGTTAATAATAGTTTTCTATATATTATAAGAATTTTCCAATACATCATTTTTTTATTAAGATAATGACACATCAATTTCATCTAAACAATACAAAAAACTTAATAATTACACACGTTTGCTATTAATGAATTTTATTCAAACACATTCTAAGTAATTTATGCAATTATCTATAGAATAAAAAAAGTAAATTATAAACAATAAAATAATATCAAAGTGAATTGCAATAAAAAATCAAAAATGCGAAACTGTTTTACAAAAATATCAAATGTGTTTCGTAAGAAACCAAACAACAGTCAATTGGAACATAGCCACCTGAGCGAGTTTGGAGACCTACCGAACGAAAATGAGGAACTTGACGAAACATACATTAAAAGCCCACCACGTTATCGAATCGCCGATAAGCAAAATTTCGACGCCATTTACGATAAGAACGTTTTGGAGCAACAAATGATAGAAAGCAACGAAATTGATAAGAAGGATTTAAGCAATTTGAGTATAACGTCGCCAAGTCTAGGCATGGCAAACGATAATAAAAATAGCTCACAACGTAAGCAAAGTAAAACGAAACAAAAGCAAAAACAACAACAAATGCAACAAACAAAAGGAGATAGAAATGAAACGACAAGAACAACAAAAACTTCGAAGACGTCAACAGGTGTTGAAATTGTTGATGATAAACTGATAGGTCCAAATAATATGGAACAGTCAACCGAAAACGATGAACCCAGCAATAAAAAGTTAAAAGAAAACGTCATACAGATATATGTAAGACAAATGGGAAGTTCTGATAAAAAAGCTGTTGACGACAAAAATGACGACACTGTCAAAAGTAAGAAAGGCGAAATTGACAAAACCGTCTTGAAGTCTGTTGACAAGACAATCAACACACACTTAAAAATAATGGCAACAGATGATGATGCACGCAATTATATTGAAGAATATAAAACGTTTATGGAGGATAAACATCAATCAATTAGTTCACCATATCCCATAAGAGAAACTTTTCAATTTGAGGAGGCACTCAATTTCAACACATTTAAAAGGCAATCAGTAAGAAGCATGTACAGCAACAACAATCACAACAGCAATAATAACCATAACAACAACAATGCTGATAACAAATTTTTACATACATATAACATAAATGAACCGCAGAACAATACTAGTCCCACCCCCAATCAATTAACACCAAATGAATCACCCATGCCAACAGCTAGCGCACCCAAAACACCCGAAGAGATTGAATACGAAGAGAAAGCAGCAGCAGAATACAAAGATGTGATGACACCTTTACCAAAAAATAATCTCAACTCAAAGCAATATGCTTTCGGACGTAACATACAACCTGAAGTGGC